GAAACCAGATTAGAGACGACGACCAATGAACAGCTGTGATGGGAACACGACTGACATTGAACGGGAACAGAAAAACCGCTAACCAGACGATCAAACATGTTTAGAAGTCTCTGCATGGAGTTTTTTTAGCGTCTCTCTTGCGATTGAAGCAATAAGTAGTCGACAGAGAGAGAGAATAATGAAGTTGTTTATCCTGCTTGAGTGCTCAATCATGGGATGGATAAAGTGACTTGTGGCAGCTTATCCTCTTATTTTGGTTTGCAGCTTAGTTATCTAGGCGCATACCCTCGATACATAGAGTCACGTACTCTGGTAACCTTCACTTTGAGGGCTATGGGGAGACACAACCTTCACCTGGAAAAAAAAAGAAGTCATCCGGGGCTTCGCTTCGGATGTTATTATCCTGACTATATCGGAACGAATGTTAATGAAGCAAATATAGGGAATTATATCTTTAGTTATCTCAGCGAAACCGAGAATTTGCGTTTTCATAGCCTTTTTTACCTTAAAAAGAAGGTTTCGGTGGAATCTTTGCCAGAATTCAAGACAAAATCTCTCAGTTATCCTCTCATTTGAATAAAATAGAGTTTCAGAAGTTTAGGAAAGCTATTGGAGTTAAATAAAAACGAGAAACTGCGTTTAAATCTTGCGCAGAGAGTCGCGCACGAAAACGCTGGTCTATCTCGTTAATGAGTGATTTCCAAAGCTTGGGACGTTGTCAGTTCTCCTCGCCGTGTTATGACGATCAGAATGATATATAATGTTGCAGGGTTTCGTTGAGACCCCGCGGAGATCTACTACCAGAGCCAAATGCCCCGTCGGCTCTGGTCTGTCTCCGCTGCTCCTCTGCGTCTCCGCGCGCTGCGCGCTACTCGCACCAACGCGGGGCGCGGGGCATTTGGCTCTGGTACCCTTTTCTTCGCTGTTTCGAACCCAATTTTAGCAAGGTATATATCATTTTGAAGCTCTTGATCTCTATTTTCACGCTGACAACTTCCTAGAACCACATTTTTTGATTTGATCGAGAAATCCGGCAAAAACCTTGTTTTCGAAAATGTCTTGTTTTTCTCTTAGGTTAACTATTTTCACGCGATTTTTTCGTGCATTCTGTAGATCTTGCTTCTGTTCATAATGCAGACAACCACCCAGCCCTTATCTCTTTCATTATGGTGGAATTTTTTGCGAAAAATCGTAAAAAGTGTTTTTTTCTTTACCTTGTTCTGTTTCAGTGCTTTCGCATCAATTTTTTTCCGGCTTGGGCGATTATTGCTCAAAACAATAAGCGCAACAATCCAGACAACGTCCCAGTAAACAGGAACGTCAGTGCGGGGGTAAAAATTCAAAAAACGCATCAAAAATCAAAACCCCGTGTTGCGAATTGCTTGTCCTGGAGCGAAAACTTGCACTATGACAAGCCGCCAATTGAAAGATTTCAGACCTCTTTGCAGCGTTTTTATCCGGTTTTCAGCAGTTTCTTTTGCTTTTTATATCTATTTTACGTCATATTACCCTATGTTTTGGTCCGTAAAGATCGCCTGAGGAAAAAAGGTGGAGGAGTTTGCGTTTTGATATATGATGATCTTTTGTATGAAAACATCTCTATTGATCCCTTATTGTCGGCCGATGTTTTGGCACTCGATATATTTCTTGATCACACTTATCGACATCGATTTATCTTGACATACCGACCCCCTAATATATCTAGCGATGAGGACAATGAGCTATTATCATTATTAGCACGTTTAGCAACAGAGACGATTCAGACCACAATTTTGGGAGATTTTAACTTATCTGATGTTGACTGGAACAAAAATGAGAGTAGGTCAAGATCCTCCAAGATTTACATCGATCTTTTTGATTCTCTAGAGATGGCTCAATTGGTGAGTAGCCCCACACGTGGAAGAACAATACTCGATGTTATTTTGACCTCATCGCCAATCATTACCTTTGAAGGTACATCTTCGCCGCTAGGATCTTCTGATCATGCGATAGTTGGATTTTCAATCGATATATCATGTACTTCACCGAGTGTAAATAATATCCATGACTTTAAGGGGGCAAATTTTGAAGCTATAAATGCGCATCTCCTCGCTTTGGATTGGTTCATACTGTTTGACCAATATATTGACATTGATGATCTATATACAAGATTTGTCTCGATTCTGCAAGATCTCATTGAGACTTACGTTCCTTGCAAGAAAAAGGGAGATGTCAGGCCGAAATACCCTAAGCAAATTCAGAATCTTTTACAGCAAAAGGAACGTCTATTTCGTGAGACCGATAGTCCGCTTCAATCTGATCGATATAAAGTCGTATGTCAAAATTTAAATCGTCATTTACGCCGATTTTGGAATTACGAACAACGCAAAATGGCTAAAAGTAAAAACATGCGAAAACTATTCAGCTTTATTAAGAATCGTATTGGTAAAACGAGAATTGGGTCATTTTTGATGGATGAAAGTGAACATATTCTCTTTTCTTCTGAGGATAAAGCCAATGCCCTATCCCGATATTTTGCAAAATCTTTTGCGGATGCTGAATTGGGATACCCTTTTTTAAGAGAGATTTCTTCCGATGAATTTTCTGTACCGGTGATCACGAGCAGCGATGTTTATAAGCTTTTGAAAACGACTAAAGCTTCCACATCTGTCACCTCCGAGAAAATTCCTGCCTTTTTCTATAAGAGGTGTGCCAAATCTTTGAGTGTCCCTTTGTCCCATATTTTTAATATATCTTTGATGACCGGGACAGTCCCAAAACTCTGGAAACAAGCCATGGTTGTTCCAATTCCAAAACGCACAGGGGCAAATAAAGTTACTGAATTTAGACCCATTAGCATTTTGCCTACACCTTGTAAAATAATGGAAAGAATTCTTGCCAAACATCTCTTGAATTGGTGCCTCAAAGAGAACTACCTTCCCGAGGAGCAACATGGGTTCATCCCTGGCTCTTCTACAACCACGCAGCTAATAAAATGCTGTCAAGAATGGGTCGACGCTTTGAGTAATGGCAAATCAGTTGAAGTAGTTTACTTTGACCTATCTAAAGCATTCGATTCTGTAAATCACCGGATGCTCCTTGCCAAACTTGAAAATATTGGCATTAAAAATAATCTTTTGGCTTGGTTTGAGTCATACCTCACCGACAGGAGTTTTACAGTCCTCTTCCAAGGACAAAGTTCACTAGAAAGTTTCTCCCCTTCGGGTGTGCCTCAAGGAAGTGCACTCTCTCCACTGTTGTTTAACATCTATACCAGGGAGCTCCCGAGTTTGCTGAAAACTGATATTCGGATCAGTGTAGCAGCTTACGCGGATGACCTAAAAATTTACGCTGTTTTTGATAAAAAGGATGAATTAGTATTAGCGGATAAACTAAAATTATCTGTTCATCTAATGCTAAAATGGTGCGAGGAATGGGGATTGAAAGTTAACCTCAATAAGAGTCAAACTATAAAATTCGGCGAAAATTCTACAGTTTTTGACTATAAAGTAAATTTTTAGACTCAAAGAGTTGTGCGTGACCTAGTTGTTATCTTTGAATCCCCTTTCAAGTTCTCTTCCCAAATTGATAGCGTGGTCACGAAGGCTTCAAAAATTATGTACGCTTTGCTTAGGAATATACATACGTCGAATAAAACTATCTGGGTGAGGTTATATAAGGCCTATGTCCTCCCCATTCTAGAGTATTGTAGTCCTGTATGGAACCCCAACTTGAAAAAACATATTGTCAAATTAGAAAAAGTTCAAAGAACATTCACTAGAATTTTGTATTATCGACTATTCCCAAGCAAAGAGTACCCAGAAGCTCTTCCCGACTACAGGACTAGATTAAACATTTTTGGTTTGAAGAGTTTATACTACAGACGAATTTTAGCTGATATTCTGTTTGCTCACAAAATATTTCGACAAGAGGTACGTTTGAATTTCTCTAATTTTTGGTTTTTCCGTCCTTCTCAAACTCGAAGATCTATATTGAACATCTGTATTCCTAGGACCAAGGGATGGCGTAAACAACTGCTAAAGTATTCCTTTGCTGGTCGTGCTTGTCGTCTACTGAATTGCCTACCCATCGAGACTATATGCCAAAACGATTCTACCAAACTCAAAAAGCTTTTGCTCAGAAATGACCTTCTGCGAATGTTGAATTTGGAGGATATTTCGTGAATGTTGTAGTACAAGATAATCGACTGGGGACACATTGTCTACCTACTTATAATGACTTTGTTTCTTTTGGTTGTTCTCTGTCTTCAATTTATACGTCATCATCCAGCTCTTACTGTTGTGCAGGTACTCCATTTCCAGTTCCTAAGCTTTTGCCCCGATTCTCAATCTACTGGTAAGCCTGGTTCGACAGGGGGTCAGTCGGTATACCTGTCATTCCGAAGGTTCCAGGCATGCCATCTGGTGTTAGGGCGCACCAGCGCACACTTAGCCGACTGGTGTGCAACTATCATCTAAGTTTAACTCATGGAGTACCATTACTCAGTTTCAGCTGTCTTTCTTTTCAGAAAAAACTATATTGGTAGACCCGGTGTCTCATTTTCGGTGTTGCGGTGTAACTAACCCTCATTATTGAGTTCGTTGAATTAGACGCTCTAACCTTCATTCATTTGTTATAGCGCACTTCACGTGCACAAAATAAATAAATAAATAAATATTCTCTTCTCTGAACTTCTTCAAACAACCTTCACTATTTATCACGTCATATGTTCAAACAACCTTCACTTTTGACGCCCTGTCTCTAGACTATCGAAGGCATGTCTAGACGCAACAAATAGAAAAATCCTAGTTATTTTACTTCACAATTTTTGCGCCTATTGTTACGGCCGGCTCCCCTTATTCCGAGCCTAACCGTTGTTGAAGTACTATCACAATGAAGTCGTAAAGAAACGATTTTCTTGACCAAACTTTTTGTCAAAATCGGAAAGTATGCCTGATGGTGTCGCTTTACAATGAACAACGGCAATAAATTCGCTGTCATAAAAGCAAAACAAGTCGCCATTATATGAAAAAACCTACCCTTTTGTAGATGAGTATCTGAGGAGATGCTGCATCCTTGATCGCTTCTCTACAACATACCGTAAAGTGCTGTATGCTCGTGATATCCCTTGCACGTCTCCATAGCAACCAGCACACTGGTGCCAGGGGTGCATTAGGAGCTATCAGTTCCACCAACCACATCTTCAATCAAAGTTGAATCATTGCCGATACTTGTTTGAAAAAACTCCTGACATGTATAGCATCGTTATCTTTAGTGCGGTAGCTTTTAGGCAGTCGAAAAGAATAATCTGCCCAACCACGAAGGAATACCACAGAAAAGTTCGATTTCTTGGCAAAATAGGAGCCTGAAATGGGGGCTTTTGAATTTAAAACAAAAACTGGTCGTTCCATAAGCTTGCAGTGTTTTCATTTTCATCCTCACTTCTCCGAAAGGCTGCCAAGTTACAAGAAGATGCGTATATAAAAAGAAAGGTCTGGGCCGGTAGTAATCTGTCGAAACTCCGAGTTTAAAGCTGCGCGTTAACTTAGAGTTAACTGTGAGTTTCGTTTCTGAAACTCGGAGTTTCGTTCTGCTACTTGCGGAGCCGCTATGGTTATTGAGGAGCTACTACACGCTTCATCGCAAAACGCTCCGACTAAGTCGGGAGTTTCCGTTGTTCGGCGCGAAGTGCCTACTTCTAGACCACTAGGCTACACAACACCCTAGTACCACTGCCATTCTGCCGCCATTAGTACTCGTTGCTTACATCCTACCTGTTCAGGCACGTCAACAGGCATGGTGCCTCTTCGCTGTAAACAGTGGATTTACTAAAATACCTATACTTCAGTGACGTACCGAGGAGGGAGGGGGAGGCCCCCCCCTCGCCGAGCGAAACTTTTGAAAGTTACTGAAATGTGTTCTAAAAATGTGCAAGCGACTTGTTTTTACTTGTAAATAATTGGAGTAATTTGCAAATTTTTGAAAGTTCAAATTAGCCATGAAAAAAAATTTTCGGAGGTGCGGCTGCCGGCGCGCTCCTTTTTTCTAAAATTTTGGGGTCAGAGAGCCGCAAAAATTTTGAAGCATCCAAGTAAAAAAATTTTTCGGAGTGCGTGGCTAACGCCACGTAACTTCATCTGAAAATTTTTTTGTCCCCTCCCCCGAGCGGAAATATTGGGTGCGCCACTGCTATACGTACTCCCCCTTTCCATTCTCAACTCCCACTTACGCAATCTTCTATTCACAAAATCCCAATCTTAGAAGAATTGATTATCCCCAGCTGTATTCCTAAATAGGATAACTAGCGAAGGTGACTGCTTTATTGACAAAACATAATTTAAGTATCAAAATTCAGCTAAAAGCTTTCGAACTCGAATATATGTAAAATGTAACAACCATGTGTGATAAATCCATGGAATCATCTACATGCCTCTATCATTTTGATAATACTATCGGCTGGCTGATAAGTGTTCATTCGAATAATTCGTTCATTCGGCAACTCGGAAGAATAAATTATTCGAATATTTGAATATGCGATGAATTTTAAAATAGAGTTATTCAACTATACAAATATCGAGAAAATTCGGAAATCCTTGTTCTAATACTTGAATCGACTATTGCGATTAAATACTCCAATACTGCATGTGAGTATTCGAATATTTACTGCATTCGATATTCGATGCTATTCAGTTGTTCTTTGATTCAGTTATTCGATCTAGTTTGTTTAATCGAATAATCGAAAATTCGAATTTTGGAATGTGCCCATATTCGAATATTCGAATTCGAATAGTATTAGGTGGTCCGAAAGTTTTGCCGGTTTTTTCAATCCATCGGCAAACACTCTAGAATGAAGATAAACAAACGCTTCAGAATGTATCCAATGCAGAATTTCTTCCTCTTTTCAGCTGCTCGACTACCATTGTGTTTCGTTGCGAAAATGACGAGATATTTGGTGGAAATTACAACCACTCGTTTTTACCATGTCCAACTTCCACTAATTTTCAAAATTTTTGTATGAGACTTTCGGAGGAGCCCTGAAAACCAGCGAATAGGGCAAACCTTTTGCCAACAGAAGCAATTTTTTGTAGCCCTACGGCTTTTCTTTCAGAATTTCTACGATTTATTTTTTGAAGTGACCAAATTTTACAATCATCCTATTTCAACTTCGTAGAACATAAAATGTTGAACATTTCAGTCACCATTCAATGCAGAATTTTCTCCTCTTTCTAACATTTGTCTTTCTTTGCCGAGGCAGGCAAAATCTGTGGGGGAAATCGCAGTATTTCTCAATTTCAGGAGTGCGCACTGACGTAAGCTATGTTTCAAAATGTTCATAATTTGAAGCGAAAATCGCTCATTTACTTTGTAATGGTAGCGGTAGTAATAATCATATGTTGAAATCTCAGTTTTCTTGGGGTTTTGCAGTGTTTGGTGCAATAACAGATCATGCTATTTTGCCAAAACACAAGACTTTTAGAAAATTATTTAGCAAAAATCTGAAAAAGCAGCAGAAAAAAAGAAAAAAATTGCATAAGTTGGCAAAAGGTTTGCCCTATTTGCTGGTTATTAAGGTCCTCCGAAAACCTCATACAAAAATTCTGAAAATTAGCGAAATTTGGAGATGGTAAAAACGAGTGGTTGTAGTTTCCAGCAAATATCTTGTCATTCTCGCAATGAAACACAATGGTAGTCGAGCAGCTGAAAGAGGAAGAAATTCTGCATTGGATACATTTTGAAGAGTTTGTTTATCTTCATTTTAGCGTGTTTGCCGATAGATTGAAAAAAACCGACAAAACTTTCGGACCCACCTAATATAAAAATCGAAATCGACTAATATTAGTTTATTTGGGGATTTCTCAAAATTCAACTATTCATTCGTTCGATAAATTTCCAAAAATATTATCCAATGTTTGTTCATTCGATGAAGATTTGCGTTCGTCACAACTATATCACAAACTAGCAAAAAACATAGCTCATGGTTTGGTTTCGTTAAAAAAAATCTCTTGCAAAAATCTATTACATTTACATTTTTGGAAAAGAAGGTGGTTGGGACTACATAATAGTTTCTCAATGCTGGTAGTTGTATGGTTGAAAAGGTCATGTGAAAATGGTAATAAAATTCAAGTAGGCAGAGCCACGTTTGTTCGGGGGCGAGTGGCGTAGTGGTATGAGGCGCCGCTATGACCAGACCGGACACAGGTTCGATCCCCGCTCCTGGGCCAGCCAAGCCCTCTACCCTCCGGGGCCGGTAAATTGGTACCAGAGTAATCTGGGAGGATAAAAGCACTGATGGAAACGGCTGGCCCCCGCAAGTCACTGTAATAGGCTCGCACGCATACAATTGCCTCGTCGACTATGAAGTTAGTGTGTGCGTCCGGCGCATGCCCACAGAGGGTATTGAAGACGCCGAATCTTTTATCCTTTATCCTTTAGAGCCTATTGCCTACTAGTTTACTAGCCATTTGTGCCATCAAAGGTCGTTCTATAAGACCACTTAAGGTGCATGTGTTTTTGAAAAATATGGATGAGACTACTTATGGCTTTGATTTCACAGCGCACGCAGCTGCTAAGAGGTTCAAAATGGAATACGGCACTGATGGCTGTCTGATGAAAACCATGAATTGCATTTTCGTGCAGAATGATTAGCATATTCATAATCAGCATGGCAAATAACCCCACCACACTAATTTTCAGCAAATTTTGTGACTTTCGCCCATTACCGTATTCCCACCGTAACCTCGTTATGTGGCACCGTAGCGAAAAATGAACATTATAGTCGTTATCGGCATACCATAGTCCCACTGTACCGAGTTTCAGCAAATTTTGTGACTTTCGCCCAACTACCGTATTCCTACCGTAAATTCGTTATGTGGGCGAATGTCGAAAAATGAGCATCGGATTCGTGATCAGCGTGCCAAGAAACCCCACAATACCAATTTTCACTCGATTTAGTAATTTTCGTCCAACTACCGTATAGCTACCGTAATCCCGCTCCGTGGCCCTGTAGCGAAAAACGAATGTTATATTTGTGATCAGCATGAGGAATAACCCCACTGTACCAAGTTTCAAGCAATTTTGTGACTTTCGCACAACTACCGTATACCTACCGTAATCCCGCTCCGTGGCCTTCGTGATCAGCATGCGGAATAGCCCTAGTGTACCAAGTTTCAGCAAATTTCGTGACTTTCGCCCAACTACCGTATCCCTACCGTAATCCCCTTATGTGGGCGAATGGCGAGAAATGAACATCGGATTCGTGATCAGCGCGTCGGATAACCCCAGGGACCAAAATTTTACAAAATTTCAAATTTTTTGTGTTCAGCGGTGCACCATGATACCCCTATCATGCTTCATGAAACTCGGAGCAAAGTCTAGCCCAGAGGACTTTTTTCTGCACCTCTGCGTTTACGCACTATTCCTCTTTCTCTAACCAAACTCAGAGTTAACTCCGAGTTTCGCGGGCGGCTGAAACACGCAGCAAACTCAGAGTTAACGCGCAGCTGAGTTGCGCGTTTCGTCGCGTAGCGTCTCGCGTGGAACGAATTACGCTGCGTTTCCATACTTGGCATAAAGTACGTCTTGCGGGGTATCCTGCCATATAAGCCTTTCCCCAATTTGTTTTGCTTATGCAGGTGTTAATGGTCCCTGAAAGATGCGTGTCAACTCAGGGTTAACTCTGAGTTAACTCTGAGTTTGAGCTGCGCGTTTCGACAGGTTTACTACCGGCCCAGATCATGCTTAAAAAATATAGTTTTATTGAGAAAACCTAATCCTCATTAGACAATCAGTGTCTGAAGATGAATTTCCGGAAAACGAAAACAAGCATTTTAACATCTATCATCTTTTGCATACAAAAAAGACGTAAAAGCTGTAGATGCAGCCGGAGAAATTTGGGTCGTGTACGGAGACAACATTTTAAGCGAACCTACGGCTTTAAGTGGGATCGACATTAGATGTCTTGAGTCACATTTGAAGCGGGACCGTCGTCAGACATGCAAGGAACTAGTTAAAAAATGAACTGTAATGCCTCTTCAGTCAATCGTTACCTTCCTTCAACGATGTTAAATCAAAAAGTTGGCCCATCGATAGACCATGCGTTGAGTGAAAGAGCTAGAGAAATGAGGCTTGCAGTTGCTGTTCGTCAGCTCATCAAAGGTTGGAAATTACGAGGAGCATTTGCACACTATTGTTACTGGTGACAGATCCGTGAGAAACATCAGAGCTAAGGGTTAGGCAAGAGCCGCACTCGGCCAAAAGAATGATAAGTTTGGTAGGACGGGGCATTCTGCACTGAAAAGTGTAGAGTGCTGAACGGGAACATAACCGTTGACCACAGCCTATATGCTACACAATTGCGTCGTTTAA